GTGTGCATTATTGTGAACCTTTAATTGGATATCCTTCCCCAATTCCCTTCAATTGCTTTAGCATTTAGAAGGTAGTAGCCCTAATTTGGCACTTTTCTCCTAACGAATTTCACATAGCCAATCTTCTTGATATGGTGTTTAATTTTAGTTTTTTTTTTCTTTTAATGGTTATCTCTAATCGTGATGAGGTGTGCTTCAATTTTTATAAGTCCACCATCTTGGTGTCTAGAAGTTAAATAATTGTACGAGTATGTCTCATACCCCCCAATCCTCAATGGAACGAATCTTAACCCAATTTTTCACTATCACCATTTATACCATCACCTACTATACAACAACACTTTGAAGCTTGTTCTACCTAAAAAAAAAATATGATTGTGATAGGATGCAAGTGGGTGTTCTGAGTCAGGAAAAAGGCTGATGGACCAATTGAATGTTACAAGGCTCAACTTGTTGCCGAAGGGTTCAATTAGGTTGAAGGAGAAGATTACTTTGACACTTTCAGTCCAGTGGTCAAGCCAACTATAATAAAACTTCTTTATTTCTTGCAATAACTAAAAATTGGTCAATCCACCAGCTTGATCTTCACAATGTCTTCCTAAATGGATGCCTAAGTGAGAATGTTTTTATGAAACAAACACCAAGGAATTTAGACTAAGACTTTCTTACTCATGTTTGAAGACTACATAAACCACTCTATGCTTGAAACATGCACCTCGTGCATGGTTCAACCATCTTCATGATTACTTACTTCCAATTAGCTTCAAGTCATCGAAAACTTATGTGTCTTTGTTTATTTATTCAATCGTTATCAATTAGATTTATTTACTAGTTTTTGTTTATGATATACTAATAATGGGTATCAACAAAATCCGCTTAACCTCAACTATAAACAAACTAGCTGATGTCTTCAAAATTAGAGATATGAGACCATCAAGCTTGTCTTTGGGTGTATAGACAGTTAACAACGAGGAGGCGATGATCCTGTCATAAATAACGTATATGATTGAAATAATCAAAAGATTGGGAGTGGAACACTGCAAATCAATCTCAACTCTAATTGAAATAATCAAAAGATTGGGAGTGGAACACTGCAAATCAATCTCAACTCTAATTCCAGTTAATAGTAAGCTAAGTGCAACAACTACAACTCAGCCATATGAAATTCCTACATAGCACTGCAACCTTGTTAGAGAACTTCAACACATAACCATCACTTGTCCAGATCACTCCTTTACAGTCAACAAACTTTGTTTGTTCATGCACGCTCCAAAGACTGAGCACTAGGTGGCACTCAAACGAGTTCTAAGGTATGTCAAAGGGACTCTAGACTATGGACTACGTTTTACAAAATCTGACTCTAATGATATTCATGCGTTCTCGGACGCTGATTGGGCAGGGTGCCAGATGACTAATAACCTCTTTATTTGTCCATATTTTACCCCTCTACTTATTCTATTTTATGCATAATTTGACTTGATAAGTAGTGAGTTGGAACTAAAACACATGCTTTTGTTTATAGTTACACCCACTTGCGTCATGAAGGAAAATATGAGCGTTATGGAGCAATTCAAACCGAATTATGAGCTAACAAACTCTTTTGAAGGAATTAAGGACAGTTTGCAGGAGCTTAGGAGGTGATCGCATTGAAGAAACCTAAGTTGGGATTGGAGTTGAACTTTTGGCGAGCACACGGGCGACGGCATGCCCGTGCGCAAGCTCGTCAATGGATATGGGCAGCAACACGCTTGTGAGCCAGCTGGTGTTCGAACACGGGTGACATGGCACCCGTGTCGCTGTCCATATGTTGATCCCTATTTCATATTTTTAATTTTTTTTTTTTACTTTTGTGCAAGAGTTCAAACCCTAGACTAAAAAATACTCTCTCATTTTAGCTTTATATTACGTTGCTTTTATATGGTTGTATTGAAGATTCGATTACCAAGTCTAAGATCCTTGATTCCTCTTTATAGATAAGTTCTTTCTCATTTGTTTATTCTCTTTTTTCTTTTAATGATGTTATTTGCTATCTGTGTTTTTGCTTTCCTTGCTTGAAATATGTGTGAGTAGTTAGTTTCCATTTAGGACTTGGGTTGAGGGTAACTTGAGTTTCTAAATGTCTTTACTATGACTATTGCATATAAGGAGAGAATTCCAAGTTAGGGTTCCAAATGTTGTAGGTATTCTTTGCATTCTCTTGTTGAGGTGTGGTGCACAACATTATTGGCATGTTATTGGAAGGAATTCAATTGCAACGAAAGTTTGGCTAGATTGGGAGTTTAGGAGACTTGAATGCTTGATTATTATTGTTGGATTGGGAATTGACGCATCACGAAAGTGAGGCAATTTCTAATCTCAATTTGAGTTTGTTTGACCACGAAAGTGGCTTATAAACTTGGGTTCTTGAGTGCATTTCTATGAGTTCCAGGTTTTAGTATTTTCCTCCCTCCATCCATTAGGTGTTTTACATTTAGAATATCATGCTCCCCCACCCCGGGTCCTTCTTTATCTTTTTGAATTTCATCTCATTTGATTATTGTTTTTAGTTGTTCTTGTTCTAGATCCTTGATTATTCTCTTTGATTATCTGTTTGCTTAGCTTTCATTTGACTTCATAACCTTGTGCATAGAATTAGCTTCCACAATTGCATGCAATAAAATTAAACCCATTCCTTGAGAACGACAATTCACCCTTACTCACCCACTTCCCTTTTATAAGGAATAACACTTATCATTTTATCAATGATCAAAAAATCTACTAGTGATTGTATTGTCTTCATTGGTAAAAATCTAATCTCTTGCACTTGTCGCAAGCAAAAGGCAATGGTTAGATCCTCAACATAAGCATAATGCAAAGTCATAGCGGGTTGATGTGAGCTTAATTGTGCATATTTCTTGTGTTAGTTTGTTCGTGTTTGTTGGGTTTAAGTTTATGAAAATGTCACATTAATTGCACATTCCCTTGTTTTATCATTTAGATATAGTTTACACTTGTTTTAATTATTTTACGATGTTTGTTAGTGTTTTGGAACCATTATAGGTCATGTGCAAAAGTAAGGAAAGTTCGAGGATGAGTTTGGAGTCAAAGTGAACCGAAAAGCGCGTACACAGGAGATTCGACTCGTTGAGAACCAGACTCGACGCGTCGAACCAAACTAGTAGCTATCCGTTCGAGTGATTGAAGACTCGACGCGTCGAGAAATTCCAGTAGGGTGCGAGAGCTTCAGCCACAGACTCGACGCGTCGAGAAGTCCCAACGAGCAGATCCGAAAATCGACGTCTCGTTCTCAACGCGTCGAGATGCCGAAGGGCTGGCCGAGAGTTTCCAAAGAAGGCGCGGAAATTTCCAAATCTCTCCCGATTTGACTCTCGCTATAAAAGGACGCCTTCCTCAACCCTAGATCAGAATTATGCTCAGTTTTGGAGACAAGAAAGAAGAGAATTGAGAGCCACAAATTGTCTTGGGAAGTAAGAAACAAGCTAAGGATATTTGGGAGAATCGCTTGGTTTAATTCTTGTACTCCTTAGATTATTTGTAAACTCTTAATTATTGTTATTTATTCCATCTTAGCCATGTGTTGCTAAGTTTTCTTAGAGATTCTTGGGTAAAAGTATTTATGAACCTATGTGCCTAGTTCTTTAATTGTTAATATATTATTATTTGGGTTTTAACTTGTGTTGCAATTGTGATTTATATTGTTTGATACTAGTAGTTAATGGCCGTAATTACTTGCTTCATAACTTTCTTTATGTCACAACGGGAGATGGGCATAATTTAGGGCACACACAATTGCACTTAACTGTTGCACATTGGGAGAGGGCAAATATGTTATGGAGTTTAATTCTTGATTGTTGCACATCGGGAGATGGTAGTAATTAGGGATTTATCATGAATGCTTGTTCTTTTATTGTTGGGTGTTTATATCACGGGAGTGAATATTCACATATGATAGAGATTACGGGAGTAACTCTTTCTACTGTTTGCATTCTCACACTTGTTAAACCCAGATTTTAATATTGTTCTTAAGACTGGCACTAGGTGATTAAATACATAAATCATAGGAATCTCACTCTTTCTCAATTGTTTTCATAAACTTGCATACTTGTTTTTTTGTTAGTTTTGCAATTAATCAACCGTCATGTCTTTCTTTAGGATTAGCTTCTCGTGAATAAATTAGTAGCTATTGCTTAATACCCCACTTTTCTGTGGATTGATAACTCGATACTCCGAGTATTATTTGTTTGAGAAATATATTGCATTCACGGATACCTCAACAAAATAACATGGTTAGTAGTTCTCATTCGTGAACTTGGACTCACAGTAGCAAAACCACCTTGACTCTGGTGTGACATCTTAGTACCACTTATATGTGTGCAAACCCTGTTTTTCATACTTGAACTAAACATGTAAAAATAGACTACCACTTTGTTCATGACAAAGTAGCATCAAAGAAGCTACAAGTGAACTACATTTTTACAAAGGACCAACTTGCAAAGATCTTCACCAAATCACTCACTACGACTAGATTTAATCTTCTAAGGGACAAACTCGATCGATGTCCTTTTTAGAGAACCTTAAGCTTGATGGGGAAGTAGGGGTGAGGTTAAGATTCCGTATTTTATCAACTTTAGAGTTTCTTATTTTTTGTGTATTATTGTGACTCTACCTTTACCGGTCCTACCCTCCTAACCTAGCTAGGACTAATTCCCGTGTCCCTATAAATACATCTCTTATTGTACTTTGTAAATATCAATAATAATACTCTATAAATATTATTGTTCTCATCTAATGTATATAGTCTCTCCTCTTCTTTTGTTTTTTTTTTTTAAGAAAAATATTGATTTATTAAAAAACATTAGGAAAGAACAAGGTTTGAGGGTTTTAAAGCCTCCCAATTGGAAATTTGGTTATGAATTAGCATTGCATTATGGATAAGTAAATCATTTGTTTTCTGTTGAACCACAACCGCTGAGAGAGCAGGCATGGCAGAGCAGGGCAGCAAACAAGAAGCAGTGATACATTACAAATAAAAACCTTAACCTGTATAGTATACCATAAAATTTGGGAACATGATTGATCACAAACAAAAGAAAGCTTTCTCTAATGCATAATATAATGGGATTGAAAAGAAAAAAAGAAAACGCAGAATTGATAAACTCCCAGAAGGCCGGCCTGCCCTCCTCAGCTCATCTTACAAGCTGGTTTCTAGCCGCTGCAGTCTGGCCGGCCGATCGCCGGATAGATTCAATCCTCTGCAGTCTGATCTGCTCTCTAAATTTGGCTATAAACTCGTCAGCTTTCTTATCAACATCCGGCGGCCCTCCATCTCCACTACTGTTATATTCACTACCATTTTCTGCCACCATATTCTCGTCGAAGAAATCATCTTCGTCTTCCATCTCTGACTCTTCGCCTTCCCCTTCGCCTTCTTTCTTCACAAAATTTTCTTTGGCTTTTGCAATGGCATATGACCTGCCTCGCCCGTTGAACGGAGTAAATGATAATGTTCTTGCAGATTTCCCGGCAGCTTCTTCACCTTTCACCTCGTCGGGTATTGGTATTTCCGCCGGGACACTCCTAACGCTTCGCCGCAGCTCCTTCTCTGAAGAAGACCCATAATCTTCCTTCTTCTTGGCGGCTAGCGCGCTTGATTTCATCGACGACGACTTGCCGAGGAAATAATGGGGAGGCGGCGGGGGAGGAGCGGGAGTCGTCTTCGTCTTTCTCGCCATCTCTTCAAGAATCCTCAGCTGCTGGGAGGATTCCGGTGAAGGGGATGGTTTTTTCGGCGACGGCGACGGTGAAGGGGAAAGCTTGTTTGGAGAAGGGGAGGTGGAGTTAGGTCTGGTAAATGATTGAGACCTGAAGGACCTTGGCTCTAACTTGTTAAATTCAGGGTCCTCCGCCATTGATGAAGATGAAGAAGAAAACAGTTTAGATTCTTCCTTCATCTCCATTCTCCCTGATCTTGATCTCCAAGGGATTGGAGAAGGAAGAACCAAATTCTCCTCTCCCTTATTATTATTATCCTCCATTGATTTGCTCCAAAATCGCTTCGAACCAGATTTCATCTTTGCCTCTTCCTTTAAATCATCATCAGCCTCTGCAACTCTCGATTTCAAGCTCCTAACAGGCAAAAGAAGGGGCTTCTCGCCCACTTTTGAACTCTTAACAGTCTGTTCTTCAACACCATCTTTAGCCACAACTACAACTGCTTCACCCCTACGGTACTGATTATTCCATGTCTGCATAACTTTATTATCGCTACTACTGTCATGATCATCGAACACAGAGCCATCCTCAGACTCATCATCAAAAACAGATGAAACCTGAAGCAATCTAGAAACATAGGACTGGGCATTATCAAACTTTGTTGTTGCAAACCCATTATTTTCCTTGTCTATCTCGTCGCTTTTCCGGCTAAACAGGCCGTAAGAGACGGCGATCCCGACGAAGATGAGCTGGAGGATTTCCCAGCTTCTGGTGTGGAGAGATTGGTTGATGGAGTCGGGAGGGGGTTGTGAAGGGAAAAGAGGGAGCAGAACCAGGAAAAGTGTAACGATTAGAGCTTTGAACAAGAAGTGGTTGTAGTAGTACTTACTTGGATTGTGAGTTGCATGGTTGAGTTGAGGTTCTGAGTCCGCCATTGATGGAGTTAAGAAGAAGAAGGAGAAGATGGCGAAGAAGGAGAGAAGTGTGAGGAGGAGCAGAGGAAAAGTATTATAGAGAGAAAAAGAAGAAAAACAAAGAGAGTGATGATGAGGAAAGTTTTTGGGAGCAGTGACTTTGATTTCTCATTTTCTTCCTTCAACATACCTTTATTTGCCTTTTATCTATTCCCATGGATAGACATTCTTGCCCTTTCCATTCCCTTCTCAGGAATTTACTAGCTGTAGTTATCCGAGTATTAGCGATTATCATGAAATTGTGTACTAATTTATACTATGTACAACCTGTTTACTGTTTAATGTTACTTGGGTTGTACTAGGTACTGTCAACACTTGTTTCATAGTGCTCAATGCAATTAATATAGCATGGATGACTATATTGGATATAAATCAACATGATATTGAGCAACATGTTAGAAAATTTTCTCCAGTTTATATATATAAATGGATTAATCTTTCTTCTGATTGTTCGAGTATAATCATAATTTTAAATTGACTCTTTGACTTCTAATTGAGAAATATTTCGTCTTTTCCTTCATAATTAGTCTTATATAGTTATTAGATTAGATAGTGTATATATATCTAGAAATGATATGAGTTTATATTTGGGGATAGTTATACTAAATTGTTTGAGATTTTCAAAATTATTCTTCTAATTAAAAATCCTAAACTAAATTTTATAAGACTAGATTTTTTGAAATTTCGTTATTCGTGACAAGCTTCCTCTTTAAGAACATGAGCATAATTGTATAACTAACCTCTAGGACATCAGTCTGGCTTCATATCTCGTGGTTGGTCGTGGGACATATTATCTACTGGGTCTAACTACCTAGACTCTGGAGATATTAATTGGGTACTTGAAGCGGGATATCCAACACTTATTATTATTATAACTCCAACCCTAACTAAAACTCCTAGCTTTTTTTTGAATGCTACTGGCTCTATTACATTGTAGTATCTGTTCATATACTTTCTCAACCTACTAACGCCTCCACTGAGGCTCGAACTCATAATCTTCCAAATGGAAGTCCAACCCGGATACCATTGGACCACATAGCTAAATAGCATAACAATTAAAATTCTAATCAAATCTAGATTTCTATTTATTTACCAGGACTATGTGGTCTAATGGTATCCGGGTTGGACTTCCATTTGGAAGATTATGGGTTCGAGTTTCTTGAAAAAGTATATGAACAGATACTACAATGTAATAGAGCCAGTAACTTTCAAAAAAGAAAAAAAATTTCTATTTATTTATTAGCTTGAAAGATAAAATCTCTTTAATGAGGAATAAAATAAAGTTGGTGGGTGAGGGGCAAATTGGGAAGGGATAAAATGAGGGTAGCAAAGAGGTTGCGTGGGATGTGGTTAGGATTCTGCTTTCGGAGTGCGTACGCTAGCTTTTTGTGGGCCTCGTTTTTAATTACATTAAAAATAATGTCATCCATGTCCTTGCAACTTTGGTTGGAGGCTATGCTTTACTTTCTCTTGTCTTCTCTCTTCACATTCTGTCTCTTCAAGGACCACACACAACCGGATCTCAAATAACTGATTCTGCAAACGAAACATAATTTTTGTATCATATGATTAAGAATTTGATTCTTTCCCTTCAAAAAAATAAGAATTTGATTCTTCCCAAAATCTTTTCAGTCAAATTCATAGCACATTATCTTTTTAATGTGATTTATATCTCTTGTGTGATTTGTAGGTTATTACATTAAAGTAGGATTTACTCAACGTATATTTTTACATAATAATGGTGTGGTTCTCTTGTAACCAAACAAAATAAATAAAAATAAAAAACAACCACACAGAATGCTTAGTTTTTTGGGAAAAAGGTCAAATAGGCCCTCGAACTTTAATTTAAAAGTCAATTAGGCCCCTAAACTTTTTGAAGGTGCAATTACATCCATCAACAATTCATTTAAGTGCAATGAAGTCCAAAAACAAATTAATGACCTGCTATCACAGGTCATTAGGGTTCAGGCCACCTTCGGGCGAATTTTCTGACAAAAAAAAAAAGTGACTGGTGAAATTTTCGACTAAAGAAGTGACCGGCGAAATTTTCGACAAATCTAGGTCGGTTGCTGGTCACATTTTTTTGTCAGAAAATTTGTCGGAAGGTGGCATGAGCCCTAATGACCTGTGATAGCAGGTCATTAACTTATTTTTGGACTTTATTACACCTAAATGAATTATTGATGGGTGTAATTACATCTTTAAAAAATTTAGAGACCTAATTAACTTTTAAGCTAAAGTTCAAGGATTTATTTGACCATTTTCCCTAAAAAAAATTTCTTCCTTCTTTTTCTTTTCTTCCCGTTTTGGATACATTGTAACAATATTAGTCTGAAAGGAACTATTTAAAAAAAAAAAAAAAAAAAAAAAAGAGAGAGAGAGAATAAACATGGTGGTCCCACCAAAAAAATTTTGTCTTTAGTGATCTTAAAATTAAGTAGGTAACATTCTCATGACAATTATCCTTAAATAAGATCGGGGGTTACAACTTAACTAGATTAGTATTAATGTTCAATATTCTTTAACAGGACGTTTGGTTGAAGAGTGGGAATTATGTGGGAAAGGAATTGTAATTCTATGAAGATGAATTATTGGGAATAAAGTGAGAATTTAAATTCCAGTGTTTGGTTTACAGGAATAGAATTACTGGGAATTTCAATTTCAATGTTTGGAATACATGGGAATTGAAGGGAATAAGTAATATAAAGTCCAAAATATCCATTGTTATTGTCAGACATTAATTTTAGATTAAAAATGGAAGGGGTAATTTTAACTCATCACTATCTTTTTTTCTTACTAAAATTCCAAGGGGACATGAGATTTTAATTCCATAAAAATGAGGGAATTGCAATTCTATAAAATTACAATTCCTTTCAACCAAACAAGGAAATTTTGTGGTCTTTGAAATTATGTGGGAATTAAGTGGGAAGGGAATTTAAATTTCCTTCAACCAAACGACTTGTAAGATGTGATCAGGCACTAGTGCTGTCAATACGGGCTGGCGGGGCGGGCGCGGGCCTAAACGGGGCGGGCTAAAAAAGCCCGCTCCTAAACGGTCCTAGGTTTGACAGGCCCGGACCGCCCAGCCAATGGCCCGCGGGCTTGGCGGGCCCCCGCCCAAAACCTTTTTTTTTTTTTTTTTAAATTGTTCATCAAACATCAAATTAATTAAAATAAATTGATACATAAGTCATAACTCACATGAAACATAATAATCAAACATAAAGTTCAAAGTTCATAGTTTATCAAACATCAAACTAGTCACAACTACAAAGTCCAAAAATATTACACATAAAAATAATTTTAAAGTGCATATTTTATATAAAAATGTTTTATATAAAATAAAATAAAATAATGGCGGGTAGCCCACGGGCCCGGCGGGGCGGGCTTGGCGGGCCCGGCGGGGCGGGCTTGGCGGGCCGCGGGCCTAAGCGGGGCGGGCCAAAAAAGCCCGCTCCTAAACGGTCCTCTATTTTCAAAATCCGCCCCCTACCTAAGTAAGGGCGGGGCGGGCCGGCCCGGCGGGCTAAGCCCGTTTTGACGGCTCTATCAGGCACCCATATTGTATGAAAAGAAAGTTATTATTTTCAGTACTAATAACTAAATATGATATACTTAGCTTATACAAGTTACTATTGAAACTGGTGGTAAAAATATTTAATACAATTAAATATATCTAATTATATTGGAAATTGGTTCAGTAAAAATTCCATATTTCTAAGTATCAACTTGTTTATTACAATATATGAGCAACATTATTTTTGACATTATTCTAGGTTGATTATTGCTTATTTATTTTACAGTATAAGTAGCATTATTAAGTACACACTAGAAGGGGCCAGGGTAGATATTGGTCTTTGTGGCAGGGCATAAGTTCAAATCTTACTTTTCACATTTAAATTTTAATTTTATATAAAAAAGAGAAGGTGGACATGTTATGGAATAATGGAAGAGTATTTGTTTTTTGTTCAGGTTGATCAACTAGTTTTTTTAATCTTCTTTGAATTCTCCACAATAGAATGAATTATCCCACAACTTATATAATTTATTCTTTAATTTCCACTGGTAACTGGAGGGAATGTTTTGGACCATAGTCGATTGCATAATGGCATGAATAATTGTCATTTTTATATAATATTTATTATTTTATCATTGTAATATTAATTTAAACTAGTATTTGTCCCATGCGATGCACGAAAAATATGTTATAAAAATATACCATATATAAGGTTTATTCATATATAAAAAATTTGTTATTTAATAATTATGTGTGAATTGTTATGATAAAATTATGAACATAAATATATTTACAATTAAAATAAGAATTGATATTTAAGGTGGGTGATTACAACAAATCTTAAACTATATTAAAAATTTAGTACATAGTATTTAATATTACAAATTTTTAAAAACTTAGTAAACTAAAATAGTAATTGAATTACAATTTTAAGAGTCACCACGGATCAAAATTTTTAAACCTTTGAAATTTCCAACTATAGATGTAACAACATACAATTAACCTTTAAAGACCAAACAATTATTTATAAATATAAATGACTATTAATCATCATCACCATTTTCTAAATAATAATATAGAAGATCCAAAAAATTAAAGAATACAATAATAATAAGGATAGAGATAATAATTGTAACAATAATTGCTCACCAAAATAATAATTGTAACAATAATTGCTCACCCAACCATATGACTATATTATAGTTAAGATTTAGGGTCCGTTTGGAAAGCAAAAATAACTTCTGGAAAATGTTTTTCGAAAAATGACTCATTTTTCAGAAAACATTTTCCTTTGTAGTGTTTGGTTGAATTTTGAAAAATATAGGAATGGATTGAAACTGAGGAATCGAAGGTAACGACGGCAGCGAAAGTAACTATGCTTTGAGTGTTGACAAAAATGCCTACATTTTCCTAGTCAACGGAAAATGTTTTCTGTTAACTGGATTTTCCTACTGCATCCAAACACTGAAAACTCAAAAAATATTTTTCAAAAGTCATTTTTCAAGTTTTCAAATGAACCCTTAGTACAACTCATGTTTACAGAGTTTGACTCTCTGATCTCATGCCTTCCGATCTTGTAGTTG